TGCACTCAACACAGGCACGGAATGGGGCGGGGGATTCAGTCACTGCTGGGGTGGGAACTCTGGAAACATTCAACTATGGATGCCATTCTGATACAGTAGCACAGAAGTGCTGCACTGAAAATTAAGTTACAAAGCTGTGATAAAAAATAATCACTTGTGTAACAAAATAACAACTTCAAGTAACAATGATGACTACAGGCATCAACCATTTATACAGTAAAATTGTATTTAACTAAGACATACATTCAAAATCTAAAAGGCAGTTATTACAGCCAACAAAATTGTTATTTGGATGACAACTGCAAATAATTCTGCACACATTTCTCGAGCTGTTCCATTTATACACATTGATTTCCCTATTTAGCTGTTCAAACACTCAGGTCCTCTTCTTTACATCCTCAGATGAAAAAGAAATTTGGCCATTATGGCCACTACTCATCTATTGCAGCACCGCCCCAACTGACATCCAAGAGGATGCACAGATCAGGGAACACAGCTCTGCCTGCTGCATCATAGCAGGCTTTTCTATACGTCCTGAGTGATGCCTCAGATACAGACAGTTATGTGATGTGTTTGTAAATGGGTTGGGAAGACAGAAGCACTGTGAGGCCACAAGGTCATTGTGCCCAGGGCCCAACCTCCTCAGGGTGTAAGCATACCTTGTCCTCCTGTTGCAAACTTGGTCCCATCTGGGTGAATGTCCACTGAAAATATGGGCTTTCCTGCAATCAGAGAACAAGAAACACACTAAATTGTTTCACAGTGAGCAGAAGGCAGTCATGCCAACAGATCCACGACCCTTCAGGTTGGCAAACGGCATTTTCCTTCTAGAAGCAGTGATTACAAGAAATACAGCTGAGTAGGAGAGTCGAAAGCAGTGTGAAGAAAAGAACAGCTATTAGTGTAGATGGAAGCTACCGTGCCATAAACAAACCAGAGATGAACAAGGAGAGGTAATCCTGCAGGATATGCCAAATGCCTCAAGGCAAAGTAACACCACAACAGTTGCACCAACAAGGTAAAATCACACTTGGGTACGGAATTTCTTCCAGGTTTCTGCAGCTCATTAGCTGATGACCTGAAGCAAGGTTTTGGTTTCTGTCCTTTGTTGTTTTGTTGATAAATCCTGGAGAATTTAACTAGATTCTCCAACTCTGGGTTTATGCTGCAACTATACCATCTGGCTTCCCTGACGCTGAACTGTAAACAAAATCCTTGTCCCAGTACTTCTTACTGTTTGAGGGATGTGTGTTCTGCTTCATGTATTTTCTTTATGTTGACTTGTTTTGAGGTTTAGCTTGTTTGGATTTGTGTTGCAACGATGACACGTGATTCCCCTAAAAAGTTTTACAGACAGCCAAGCGAAGACCTTCACTAGATTGAGACAGCGCTCCACGTGCACTCCTTCCCAGTCCTCTAAATCACACAGAGCACAAATTGAGATTTAGCCGTGGCTTTTCTTCAGTTCATGCTTGACTCCATTCTTCTTTCCCTACCATCTCGAATGAACACAAACGGCTGAGTATTGGAGAAGCACAGGCAGGAAGCAAACATTGATTTTGCCCTTCCCAAGGTGCAAAAGCTCCCTTACATTAAACCAGCACATTGTTTAAACTAGTGTAAGCCACTGACACTTACAGGAACAGCTCCCTCTACAGATGTTACAAGTGGAAGAGATTACCTTTGCTCCGATAACCTCACACCCGAAGTTACCATGTGTGCCGGGCCGTTAGCCGTGAGAGCACAGGAAGCCTTCTAATCCTAAAGGCCTCTTTATGTCCTCAGCCTCTGCATCACTCACAAAACCAGGAACCCGTAAGTCAGAAGGAACAAAGCACTCAATAAGAGGGGAGCCGCGGCCCCCCCAGCAGCACAGGCAGCGCTTCAGAGCTTGGGTGGCTGCAGTTAAACAGCACTGCAAAGAAGGAGACATTATTTATTAGCAACTGCCACCCTCCTCAGCTCCATGTCTGTATTCGATGGTGTTGCTGGTCACTGCTGAGACACCCAACAGCACCAGGTCCCTCTCCCAAAGCATCCAGTGCCTTGCCATGCCCGTCACTGGAGAAGTTCTCATTCATACCAGTCACCAAGCATCAAAATAAGATGCACGTGATGCTTAAACAGTAACACTGCAATTTAACAGTGGGGTTTAGGACATTTTTCCCCTCTCCTAATAATTTATAAACAATTTGTTGAAGCTATTGAAGCTCCCCACTACACAGCACGAAGCAGCAAACCAGATCCATTGAAACCAGAACACCTTCTGACAGACCATATGACATCATGTGGTTTGTTACTTAATTCTACACAATAATCACTAAAATAAAAAGACAATTTTATGCAAAGTTCCACTTTGTGAGATTCTATTTATTTTCCTCGCAGCCCATCCAAGACACAACATCCTATGTGACTCACATATCCATTTCAATATTTACCTTCCACCATTACAGCTTGAAGAGATAATAAACTCTGTGCCTACGTTTCAACAAAGTGAGCTCCAATTCCTACAAGCTGTAACACACCAACAGCACCTCAGGGGTTGCAGAGGTTTCTCAGAATCACACAGGACTTCCTTCCAAGAGGGCTCAGCATGTGCCACTGCTACAGACCAGGGCTCTCAACCAGCTGTGTGCATAACGTGCACATACACTGCGCTGTGTACCTTCATACGGGTACTGAAAGGAAATGGGGGGGAGAACCAAACCCCAGCTGAATATCTATAAAATATCTAATAAACTGGCATTAACAGTGCAAAGAGCTTACAGAAAATCCACTTGAAGAAGTATTTCCAACAAGCACTCTGGCAAGGCAAGATTAAGAACGCCAAGACAAAAACCTGTAGAGCCAAAACGTGCAAAGTGCTCTTACAGGGAGCACACACAGTCTGGGCTGAGAAGCCCAGGTGCACTGAATGTACTTGCTGCAACCCCGACTCCCATGGCTGTCATCTCACAGAGCTGCCATGCATGCCTGCCAGCATCCTTCAGCCGCTTCCAGCCCGTTCAGTAAAGCACAAGTCCTAAAACTGAGCAGGTAAAGGGGAAGGGAGGAACGACAGCAAGGAACCAGCGCACAGAGGAGCCATCCTGAGATCCTGACTCTTGCTCATGCACCAACAACAGCAAGCTCTTCTGGCAGCAGTGAAAACAAAAGGAGCAAGAGTTATGGACAGTGAGACCACAGCAGGAACCATCCCCACCTCTAGGGAGGTACCAGAGTAACGTGCAGCCTGTTAAAACTGATGGAAATGGCTAATGTGCAGCAATGCCTGCGGGATCTGGAACCCTGGTACATCAGAATCACCTGCCTGATCTCACCTGATTGATCCTGCATTCCCTGCCCCAAGAAGGAGGGAGTGAGAATGTCAGACAGCTCTGTGTGCCACAGACCTTAAAGCGCCTCGCAGATGAAAGCAGTGGTAAACGTCCAGCAGAGTTTCACCACCTGCAGAACAAACTGACTTGCACAAACTCACCCCAGCAGGACAGCGGCAAAAATGGAGACAACGTGGGGCTACCAAAGCCTTGTACTGCATCACCCGTGAGATACAGCCTTGCTCGGCAGAGGATGCTTTTCTAGAGTTCACAAGTTAATGCCAAAAGTTACAACAGTTCCCAAACACACGCCATGGCGAAGCAGTGCACCCATTAAAGAAACACAGAGAACAGCCACGGGGCCATTGCTCTCTGCGACCTGTAGAGGTGCAGGCCAGAAGTTCGCTGCTGACAGGTGGGCTCCCGGCAGCCATCCAGCGCCGGAGAGCCCACACACGAGCGGCCAGAGAGCGAGGTACAAACGCTGCATCGGTTCAGATCAATCGAGCAGAGAAGTAACAAACACCTCAGCGAAGCGCTTCCACTTTCTTTCCGATCGCCACGACCACACATCGCACGGCCGCCCCGCGGAGAGCAGCGCAGCACAGCCATACGGGAGCTACAGCTCCAGGCTCGGGCGGCCATTCCCGGCGCCGCAGGACGACCCGAGGCCGAGCCGCGGGCACGGCCGCTCAGCCGGTCTCACCCGGCGCCGGGAGCGGGAGCTGAGCGCGGCCGGGAGGGCAACGCGGCCAGAGCAGAGCTCTCCGCGCGGCGCTCCGTCCCGACGCGGCGCTCTGGACGCAGACACCGCTCCGGAAACCGGTTTTAAGTCCCGCAGCCGCGTTACGCTGGGCTGCTCGGCGCGGGGAGGCGCAGCCGCTCGGTCCCAGCTGCTCGGAGCGCCCCGCGGCCGCCGGCGATCCCCGCGGCCATCTTCCCCGGCCCGGACGGACCCCGCTCCCATCTCGCCGCGCCTCGGCGCCGCCCGCGGGGCCCGGCGCTCCCCGGCACCCCCGCCCGCCCGGCCCCGCCCGGCCCGCGGCACCTGCCGTCCTCACCATTGTGGTTGACCCAGGTCGGCTTCAGGAGCTTCATTGTCTCCCGCCCGGGGTCCCCCGCCGGCCTCCGCCCTCGGGACCCCAGGGCGGCTCCGCCCGGGCTGCCTCCGCGCGGCCGAGCGACCGAGCGGCGGAGCTCAGCGGCCGCCGGGCAGCGCCGCGCCGCTCTGCCCGCCCCCTCCGCCGCCCGGAGCCGCCTCAGCGCCGCTCCATGTCCCGGCGCCGCCCGTGCCGCAGCCGCCGCCGCCCGGCCGCATCCCCCGCTCTCGGCTCCCGGCGGCTCCCGGCGAACGCCGGAACTCGGCGCCTGGCAACCGCCAAACCGGCCCGGCGGGAAACGGCCGCCCCCGAGCCCCGGCGTTCCCCCGCCTCGGCCGCCCGGGGG